AAGAGTCCATAGTGATGGACTCAAGGGTTCACTGTCTCCTACAGTGAATTCGGTCAGGCCTTGTAACAAAGGTTGGGCTGAACCCATGTGGCTGATGTGTAGATCAATGTTTGGGTCCCACGCCATACAAAGAGAGCCAATTGGGCAACAGGTTAAGAGGTTAAGTGAGCACATAAACTTAATGGGCCTAAACCCCAACTTTGAACTGGGTTAATTAGATTAATTAAATAGGGGTGGATCTGGGTTTGGATTAGTAGATAAGGATAAGAGGATAAGTCTTATCCACTTAAAGAGTACAAATCCAAATAAAGATTTGGATCAGGAAACTCTTAATTTGATTAGGATTAAACTATTCTTAAACTACAGATAAGATAAGGGATTATCCATATCACTTAAAGAGTCCAAATCTGAATAAAGATTTGGATCTAGAAACTCCTAATCAGATAAGGAGGTTATCTCTTTAAGGCTATAAATAAGAGAACAGGCGGACATGAAAAACACAACAAATACAACATAGCAATCTATAGAGTTCTTCCTTGTTTTTTCCGCCCCTACCCATTTCGATCTCCACTTGTGGGAGTGATCAAGAATTGATCTTCATATTGCTTCTTGGTAGAAGAAGCAATTTGAAGTTGTGCTCACTAGCCCTCTACTCCATTCTTGCTAAAGAATTTGGTTCTTCCTGAAGAGCCATCCTGTTGATCCTGCTTCATCACATACTATGTCATCTTTAATGGAAGTGGGTTTTGGTTTTCTCCTTGGGCGTGAACACATTCATTGGGAGTTACTAGTACTTCGTATCAAGTATATCCCTCTCCTCCCTTATGGTTTTAGATCTAGTCTGGTTTGGTTCAAGATTGATCCTTGAAAATGTAGTTTTCTAAAATAAGGAATGCAATTCCTAGATGGGAGTGAGAAAAATTTTTGAAATTTCGCCCTACCTTCCTGCAGGGTTCGGCCATCCATGTGATGGATCTCTTACCCCTTCAGTAAGAGTGTTGGATCTCTTTTTAGCAAGAAGGCTAGAGCTTTCTTTGGTAAGAGGAGAAGAGCTAGAGCTGGCTGATCTAGGGTTGGCCAGCTCCTCAATAAGGAGGGACATGAAGGTGGTTTTTCTTTGTTGCAAGGAACCACTATATTTGTATGATGATGCCTTGACAATAAGATGCTTTTATAAAATCTCAGTCTGGGGAGATGATTGTATTTTCCATGTATAACATCATCATTATAACAGAGTATGGCAATGCAATGATACATCTCAAATAATATGTTAACATCTTTTGCAATAGCTACTTTTCTAGACAGAAAGCTGCATAAATAGACACAAGAAGGCTCAATCTGGTACAATGTGCGATAATCTTTGAATCCTCATAGAAACTTACTTTCAACTCTAAACTCAAAGTAGTAACACGCTGCTCAACCTGTTCAAGCTCAGTTGTCTTGCCTTTAATCTCCTATTCCTGTTATTTATTAAGAATAAAAGTTATTATCAGTACTTGATAAAGGAAAAATGAGAATGGATGAAATTGAGAGGGAGTGAAATAGAGATTTACCTTTTCATCCAAAATTGCAGAGTATTCCTCCCTTAAAGAATCTTCTGTTAATTGTGTCTGCTTATTTTTTCGCTCTTGCACAATAGCCGACTTCTCTAGAGCAGCCTTGGTTTCTCTAACAGCAACATCATACTTCCATTTCCATTCCTCTACCGCTTCTTGTGCAGACTGTGCTTCTGCTTGTTCACGAGCAACAACCAGCCTTGCTTCAGCAGCACTGGTTCTGGATTTGAGAGTTTCTATTTCTGCACTTGATTGGTCCTCAGCTTTCTGCTTTGAAAAGATCTTCTCATATTTTCTTTTCCATTCCAAGGAATCTTGTGCTACAGAACCAAGATTTTTGACAAGCTTGAACACCTCTCTTCCAAGAGTTTGAATAGGAGAGTAACTGGGTTTGTTAAAGACAATAATGGCTATGAATCGGCTGATGAACTATCAACCGTGAGTTCCTCTATTTATAGAAGTGTATGAGTTAAAGTTTTACAATGATTCAAATACAAAATTATAGATAAACAAGAAAACTGTTATGATAAACTATACAAGGATAAGTTTTATCATGATAAGCTTATTGAGTGGAACTCTTATCAGGATCTAGATCTGATAGAGTCAGATCTGGATACATTAGTTATTGGTGTTCTATCTGCAACTCACTGCAAGCTGAGCATGGCAACGTGAAGCTTGGACCTGATGTTGTAAATCGAGCAGAGGAGAGGGGCTTAGTAAAAATATCAATAATCTGATCTACCAAAGGGATATATCTAATGAATAATCTCTTACTGGGAGAGAGATCTCGAAGAAAGTGAAAATCAACTTTGACGTGCTTCGTTCGAGCGTGAAAGACAGGAGTAAAGGTTAAGGAAGTCACACCAATATTGTCGCACCAAAGAACCGAAGGCGTAGTAGTTTGGTGACAATATGGCGAGTAGGACAAACTCCAACTTAGTGCTCGAACGAGCAACTATTGGTTTCTTTCTTGGAGCTCTAGGAGATGAGGTTTGAGACTAGATAAATGGCATAACCACTGGTGGAGCACTGATCATCTGGGCAACTGGCCCAATCAGCACCTGTGTAACCAGTGAGCTGAAGTGATCATGATGAGGAGAAACAAAGGCCATGAGTAATTGTAGACTTCAATATGATACGCTTAACGGCTGACCAGTGTTCATCAGTTGGTGAATGTATGAACTGACAAAACTTATTAACTGCAAAGGAGATGTCGGATCTCATGATGGTGACGTATTGTAAAGCACCAACAATGCTCCGGTACTCTGATGGATCAGACAATGGAGTACCAAAATCACAAGAGAGCTTCGAAGAAGCAACCATTGGAGAGGATACCGGCTTGGCACCATCAAGCTTAGTACGAGTGAAAAGATCCAAGATGTACCACTCCTGAAAGAGAACTAAGCAATTGGCAGTGAAACGGGCTTCGATCCCCAAAACGTAATGTAGGAGACCCAAGTCTTTGAGTGGAAAGATGGAGGACAAAGATGAAAGAAGTTGATCAATAGCCATCGAAGAGTTTTCTGTTAACAAGATATCATCCACATAGATGAGCATGTAGAGACTCACACTGTCACGTGTGAAGATGAAAAGATATGGATTGACAATAGAATTCTAAAAACCTAGGCCAAGGAGAATAGTAGTGATCCATGAATACCAGGCCCGGGAAGCTTGGCGTAAGCCATACAGAGCATTATGGAGATGGCAAGCATGATGAGGACAAGACGGGTCTTCAAAGCCCTTGGGTTATTTGACGTATATATTTTCATCAGTCGAACCATGAAGAGATGCATTGCTGATGTTGAGTTTTGGTATGGGCCAAGATTGAGAGACTGCCAAGGCAAGAATAGTGCGAACAGTCACAGGTTTGATAACAAGGCTGTAAGTGTCAAAGAAATCTAACCCAGGTATTTGATGAAAGCCTTGTGCAACCAATCAGGCTTATAACAATCTAGAGTACCATCGGCCTTGTTTTTGACTTTGTACACCCATTTTGTGCCTATGACGTTCATGGTGAGGTCATAGGGTACCAACTTCCAAGTGTTGTTAGCAATCAAAGCATTAAACTCTCGTTGCATGGCTTCTCACCAATGGATTGACTTAGAAGCTTCTGTGAACATACGATGTTCCGTCTTGCTATTAGAGAGTAAGGAGAGGCTTCTGTGAACATACGATGTTCCGTCTTGCTATTAGAGAGTAAGGAGAGAAGAGTGGATGAGAGAGGATACCGAGTTGCAGTAAGCGACCTTGGAGGAAGAGTACTGTCCATGGATTTGGTTTCCATGGAATGTGTATGGATAATCGGAGGCGGAACAGCCAGTGTATGAGCAAGAATGTCTTGAATACTGTGGTACCGTGCTGGTGGTGAGGACGAAGTAGCAGAGGAGGTTAATGCTATAGTTGAGGCAGTAACCGATAGTTCACAGGGAGAGGGAACAGAAGGAAGAGGTGAAGGTGGTGTAGATACTAATGAAGGTTGTGACTGTGACATCTCAGAGGTGGAGACATCCGGCTGGGTTGGTATGGAAATATAGACCCCAGTGGATGGCTACAATTCAGCTAATGTTGTTGTGGGAATCCTAGGAAATAATCTTTCACCAAACACAACATGCCGAGCAATGAAAATTCTGCCTGTGGGAACATGTAGTGTAGGTACATAGTGGTCACTAAGACCCTCAGAGTACAAAAGGTGTCAAACCAACACTACACGGACGCCTGCGGTGAATCTAGAACCCATCGCACGATTGCGATGAGTTCATCATAGATCTACAATTGCGATGAACTCACACCCGGGACAGGTCATGATGAACTTTGGCTAGCACGAATCTGTGATAAAGCTAAGACACATGCGGGTTTGTGATGAACCCCGGACACACACGCATTTCTGATGAACCCAAACACGCATAAAACTGCGATGAAACTGACACCATCATAGAACTGCGGAATCACAGTAGAACAGGAGTAGATACCGGTTACACGTACGCCTTTAAGTTACACATGTGAGTTTAATGAAAGTACGCCCACCAAACAATGACACCACCCACGCCACGTCAATACAATAGGGTCACGTACGGAGAGAATCCGGAAGGGATAGGATTCTCTAATAGTGATTCCTTAATAAGACTTCCTTTCCTAACAAGAGAGATCCTCTTTCCTAACAAGAAATATCTCCTTCCTTGATGGCCTTCACCTCTCTATAAAAGGGTGAGAACAATTCTTCCCCAGGAGAGACAACACAATCATAATCCTGACCTAGGGTTTCTCAAGATGTTCCTCTTTCTCTCTATCCCTCTCCTTTCTTTCTTCTCTTCTCCACCTCCTCTCTCATTCCGGCCTCCATCTCCAGACCTTCGGAGACTGACCGACTGCTAGGGGTCTACAGTGATTACATTAGAATCTCTGGTTTGCTCTCCGATCTCTAGAACAAATGGCGGCATGAAACACAATGGGAGTCATAAGGCAAGATTAGTGTTGATGATGGTTTAGCTACCGATAACCGTCTTCGGGATCTTTCTTCATCAATAGCGCAGCCACGCAGGTTTTCTTAAGCAAACTGCCTATAGCAGCAGATCTGTGTGAAGGGTGATTCAGTCTTCATGCATCAACCAAGTCGTTCAAATCGGACCTACTAACGTAAGATTTCCAAGATACCATATTCTAGCTTTAATTCAAATCGTCCGTGAGCGAAGTCGGGAACGAGGCATTCGTCCACCTTCTTTCTTTATGATATGAAGTAATGACTGTGGTTTAGGGATTGTCGCCACCATCGACTAAGTCACACAGACGATTCTTGTGAACTAGAAGCAAATAGAGGGACGGAAAGCCTAACAACCAGGAAAGCGACTTGTTCCTCGTGTCTCTTTTATTTTCTAACAAAATAATTCGAAGAATCATAGGGAATGGATTTTCACTGCCTTCACCTCCTAGCCAAGAAACCAGCGGCGGCAACCTCTCCCTTTCCCGGACATTCACTCTCCTCCCTCTTTTATTTTCTCTCTCCAACGAAATTAATCAGGTGACAACAACTGTTCATCATCTTCCACCTCCCGACAGAGGCGGTGTTGGATTTTAATCTCATAAGAGATTAAATCCAATGGGTTTGATTGGTCAATTACATGAGAAATTGCACCTACACACTTGATTTAAAAATCTATTTTTCTCTTACAAAAACCTGGTTTTGAACTTGTCCCACATTGGATAATTATAAGGTTTGTTTTCAGTATTTCAATAGGAGCTGATTTACACTCCTTAGAATTAGTAGAGGAGAGTATGGGGATTCAATACCGCGCAACGCGCGTGCACGCGTGTGCGCGCATGTGTGTGGCGCAATGAGGCGCTTTAGAGGCGCACTTTGCTTGCACTTTGCATGCACCCGCGTGGCTCGCGATGGGAGGCTTTGGTTTTGGTGCATTGATGACCATTGATCACCGTTGATGAGATCAACGGTCATGATTCGATCGGGTGTGATCAAGAGGCACAATTCAAAGTTAATAGTCACCAACTATTAACTACTTTTTAAACAGTCACAATGTTTGAAATTGTGACTGTTCAAGGTGCATTCTCTAAACCAGCACCCACCTTTTCCTCATACCTCTTCACAAATTATTTAAGGAGCATGAATCAGACTCCAAAACACACAATTTCGAAATTCACTCTCTCTCTCTCTCAGTCCGGTCTACTACAGTCTCACATAAGGTTTCTTTGGAGACTCTTCAACTTTGTCGGTTGCAGATTCTCACCCAAAGGCTCTGTTGTATCCTGGGAACGAATTTTCCTGTAACCCAACAGCAAAATCAGTAAAACTAAGTGGGGGCAAATAACGTTCTAAAGATAGTGTCTTCAGACGCACCTCAGAGCTTCTCCTCCAAAGTTACAGTGACCCCATCTTCTCCAACAATTTTAGAACATTATTTTGCAATGGAGGCGGAAGCAAGCATGACTTCAATCAAGATGATGAACCAAGATCTTGTTTGACTAGACCAGTTCGATGGAGCAAAATTCAGTCGATGGCAAGACAAGATGATCTTCTTTCTAACCACACTGAAGCTATACTATCTGTTGGACCTGAATTTGCAATCACTTCCTGAACCCACTGACAAAGACTCAGAGAAACTAAAGAAGGAAAGAGCAAAACGGGAAGAGGACTCACTTCTGTGCCGAGGACACATACTGAATGCCTTATCAGACCGGCTCTACAACTTCTACAAGGAACTTACATCTCCAAAAGAAATCTAGAAGCCCCTAGAATTCAAATACAAGGTGCAAGAAGCAGGTATGAATAAGTATCTTATTGCAGAATACTTTGACTTCACCATGAACGACCATAAACCTATACTGGAGCAAGTTCATGAACTATAGGTGATAGTTAATAAAATTCGATCCCTTAACATCATCCTTCCTGAATCTTTCCAAGTGGGAGCAATCATTGCCAAACTTCCACCCTCTTGGAAGGATTACAGGAAGAAGCTTCTACACAAGGCTGAAGAACTTACCTTGGAGCAAATTCAACAACACCTTCGTATTGAAGAAGAGTCTCAAATTAGAGACAGTAGGGATAAGACCCTGACCGGTATGTTGAACTCTAAGGTAAATTTTGTGGAAAACGGATCGAAGAAGACTAACCCTGCATTACAAGTAAAGAAGAAGGATGGGAACTTCAAGAAGAGCAACAATAAGAAAGGATCCT